ACTGGATCAAGACATTTGGAAAAGGGACTAAGCTCACAGTAACTCCCTCTGGTAAGTAACTGTTTTTCTATTTTTACCCACGTAATGAAAAATCAGTAGATGCTTTTTAGAAAAAAGAGTTTAGCATAACACTTACCTGACTGCCACACAATTGGCCTCAGCATAGGAAGAGCAATTTTGCAGCTACTGGTCACCGTACATGAAAAGAAAACTACTTCATAAATGGTTTGTTGAATTCCCTACTGGTAAGTAGATTGAAATTTCTTTTAGAATACACACACACAAAATGATAGATTGAGGCTACAAATTTAGATATATTTTGGACTGTATCTGTAAACCATTTGTATACATTATTGGTTCAAGATACTTTTCTTGCAGACAGTCTTTTAGGTGAGAGACACTTTTATTAACTACCTCTTCTCTATATGTCAAGATAAAATGTAGTGCTCCTTTCTTGCAATAACCTTCAAAACCTATGTTATTGGTTTTCATCTATCCCTACAGCAGTGCAAAAGATTAATTCTTCGAGTAAATGACTATAGAACATTGACAAATCTCACTTCTTGTTACTCTAGCTTCTTAGAGGTAGGCTGAGATCAGTCAAAATTTATACATCACAAGTCTTGATGAATTGCCTAGAGATGGGCCAGTTTAAGGGAATTTGTAAGCTCAATAAGCCATTTCAGCTCCAAAGTCCATGAAAAGAGTCTGCATGGTTTACATCCTCATTTGCTCATTCGTCTGTCAGCAAACATTCATTGAAGATATTTTCTGTGCTGAATACTGGAGATAAATTGGGGAAGAAGACAACGATAGAACAAGACTCAATATTCCAAAAGCTTCTAGTCTCATTGATAAGTTTTCTAACTCCAACTAGGTCCCTGGAGGCAGTTCTCTGCCTGACGTAGCAAGGAGGACATTCACAAGGAGTTAAGTAGTTAGACCAACTGTGAGTCCCTAAGGAGTGGGGACGTTAGGTCCATAAGAGGTAATAGAGGGTTATGTTCAAGGTAATGGAGGAAAGGCAAGAAGTAATTAAAGTTGAATAATAGTTAAGAATGTTTAGGAAAAACAAGAGTATGATGGGGATTGGATGTAGAAATCTTAGGAGGAATTTTAAAACAAATCCTTATGGCAAAGATCAGCATAGATAACATTGTGCAAATATTGCAACAAGATTTGGCTTTATGTACGTATGGACTTATATAAAGGACTCAAGTATGACGTACGTAAGTATCATGAAAGTGTTTGTCCCATGGACAAAGTTTATTATCACAGGTGAGTTTTGTGAGGTGACACATTTCCTTTCTAATGGTGAGAGGGTCTTGTCAAAGAGCCTGGGCTTTGGAGTCAGGGTGACCTGGCTCCACCACTGACGTCCTGCTTATGTGAACTTGGGCGATTATTCTCTGGCCTCCGTTTCGCTATCCATTAAATGGGATCACAGTATGTATCCAGCAGAGGTTGTGTGAGAATTGAATGAAATAGTGTGAATAAAGTACTTGGCACATTGTCTAACACGTAATAGCTGCTAGATACAAGTTCCCCTGATTCAAATGTAAAGGGAGAATTTTATCCTGTGTGAAAAGTTGTTTACAGCCAATAACATTGACAGAGCCGCAACTCTCCAGAGGATTCAGCTGTACCTCTAACTGCTCAAATGGAAACTTAACTTACTCTTCACTCTCACACAAAATGAATTTCGAAGTATTTGTTTCTCTTTAGCAGACTTTCCTTCACTTGGCAAGAAAAACGAGATTAAAATGTGTGTTTTTAAAAATTTTGTTGTATTATTTGCTTTAAATCATAAACCTATTTTAATTGATATCATCTCTAACACTAACATTTATTGGAACTAATATATACAGCAAGTAAGTTTGGGCTTCATGCCCGTATATCAGGAAAAGAGTTTAAATTCATAGAGAAAATGTTCAAGATGTAAAATCAATTATGGTAGAAACTTGTCATAAATTTGAAATACATATTTAAATATGAAATAGCTTTAACAACTTATTTGATAAAATAAAAATTACAGGAAGAAACTAGCGAACACTTAAATCAACATCAGTATGTAAGTTTGAAATATCGTACTTTCAACTAAAATATAGTTGACATTTGGTAAAGTTATGTAGAATTCATGTTGCTGCATCTTAATAAAATATAAACAACTCAGGCAATTTCACTCAAATTTATTATTTGATTATGCAGATAAATGTATATAAATGAACTAGACGGGTTTATTTATATTTTTACCTGGTTTCCATTCCATGCATCATGAAAATGATTTTGACCATAAAAAATACTGTTAATAAGTTTAAAAAGAATATTTAAAGAAAAACATGTAATGTAATTATTTAAAATACAGGCACTAAACATATATACACAATATACATTTAATGCTCAGTTAACTATTACATTGAGAAAGTTATGGAAATTCAATATTCATTTTATCCAGAAAAGAATGGAACAAAGAATCTAGCCAAGGGGCCGGCCCCGTGGCTTGGCGGTTAAGTGCGTGCGCTCCACTACCGGCGGCCTGGGTTCGGATCCCGGGCACGCATCGACGCACTGCTTGTCCAGCCATGCTGAGGCCGCGTCCCACATACAGCAACTAGAAGGTTGTGCAGCTATGACATACAACTATCTTCTGGGGCTTTGGGGGGAAAAT